AATTCCAATGAGCACAAGCCCAACCCTTTTGGCGTCTCCACAAAAGAAAATCCCTGCATATTTAGAAACAACCTAGTGAACCTTCTCTCAACTGTCTCAAATACCAGTATATCCTTTCTGGGATAAGGGGACCAAAGCTGTTCACAGTGTTCCAGATGTTGTCTAATTAGTGCTTTGCATAGGTTTAGCAAGATTTCCCTATTTTTGTACACTCTTCTCTTTGAAGTAAAGGCCAACCGCTTATTTATTTTCCCTATTACTTGCTGAACTTTGATGATTGCTTTTTGTGGCTTTCTGCAGTCTTTCCCCATCTAAATACTATTCAGCTCCTCCATTCTTCCTGCCAAAGTACATAACCTCATAACTTCACACATTGTTTGTAAGTTTTCTGTTTTCAAAAGGGCTGTTCTTATTTTGATAATCCTGTAGTGCTAGCCCTGAAAGCAGGTTTTTTTTAGGTGGAATGGGAGGCTGTGTTCTGAGCTTTCTGCCCACCAACATTTCTGACAGTGCCAACCCACAATAAATAGGCTTAGCGACAGGAGATCGGACTCCAATCTTAGTGATTTTTTTCAGGTGTAGGTAGATCTGTTTCATAGTGGGTGTGGCATCTTCCTGGGTCTGAGAAGACATAGGTTTAGTATCTCTTTACAAAATAATGAAATATGTGACCTTAAGGCTTCCCAGTCTCGTAAATAATTGTAGACAATATTTTCTGAAATCGCACTAGGATTTTTGCTGATTAACTACTCCCATTTCCCTAACAGAATTGTGGTCTACACCTCACCTTTACTTAAAGAATAGAATTCCTGATTCAGCATAACTAACAATGTTTCCAACATCTACTTTTCCTTCTGTTGAAGTGGTGCCTGTAATTTTCCCTTGATTATTAGTTTGGTTCTTCCAGAACTATAAAGTAACTGGATTTCCATTGGCTGCAGGAAATGCAATGATAACCATGGTTCATTGTTTCATAAAACCATTACACTAACTCCAGCTTTCATTTTAAAATTGGTAACACATCTGATGACATATACTCCTGCATTCCAGAATACATGATTGGCATAATTGGACTTTCATCTTCATTATTATCCTTGTGTACAAAGATTGTTCTTTGGGACCCACAAGAGTACAGGTGTTACAATGGCTCATTTCTCTGAAATTACCTATTTTCTTTAAATTAAGCATTCTACAATATTTGCACAGCACTTACTGCACCTGTCGATTTTATCAGTCCCACAGAACTGGTAGGCATGGTTATATGGCATTTTATATTTTCCCTCCCACTGAACATTGACTCGTTTCGGTTACATTCATGTGCTTATAGATCTGATGGTCACAGGAGCATTCCCGAGCCAAGGTACTCCTTCAGCTCTCAGAAATGCTCTGGTCTGTTCACAAGCATTTGTTTGTCTCACCAGCTGTATTGCTTTCTCCAACATGAGATCTTCATTAAACTGCAGTAAGTCTGATACAGATTCTTCAACGATATCTATTACAATGTGGTCTTGTATTAATTCTACTTTTAGGTCTCCATTCTCTCATCCTGCCACAGCCTTTGGAAGTCATTAATAAACACATCTGAAGTTCCAGAAGAGAATCATCCTGGACTTGATATGTTAAATCTGTTTTTCCATTCACACCTCCTGCCAGACCTGCTGAGTTTCTCCAGCAGTTTCTGCTTTTATTATTTATAAACCTTTCACCTGGTTTCTGGGCCCTTTCACATTGAAATTGACCCTTTTCAGAATCGTATTGGTGCTCAGATGAAATAGTTTTCAAGGATTTTAAGACTACTTCATTTTTTTGCTGTCTTATTAATAAGCTGTCTTGCAACAATATTGTCTGCTACTGTTCCTTTGGAGTAATGAGTTGACCTGTTAAACTTCAGAACTTATTGCCTTATTTTGAAGCAATTCAAGAACCCAAACCTTTCACTACATCCACAAGCATTCACTCCCTCCACCACCAACGCTCAGTAGCAGCAGTGTGTACCATCTACAAGATGCATTGCAGAAATTCACCAAAGATCCTCAGATCTTTGCAAAGCACCTTTCAAACCCATAAGCACTGCCATCTAGAAGGACAAGAGCAGCAGATACATGGGAACACCACCATCTTCAAGTCCCTCTCCAAGACACTCACCATCCTGACTTGGAAATATATCGTCATTGCCTCATTGTTGCTGGGTCAAAATCCTGGAATTCCCTCCCTACGGGCATTGTGGACTAACCTACAGCAGGTGGGCTGCAGAGGTTCAAGAAGGCAGCTCACCATCGCCTTCTCAAGGGCAACTAGGGATGGGCAATAAATGCTGACCAGCCAATGATGCCCACATCCCACAAATGAATTTTTTAAAATGGGAATATGGGATTCAAGAGCATTCCCAATGTTTTAGGTGGTTTATCTGAAGTTTTAATTCTATCTTCCACTATTTTAAACCTTCCTGTACAACTCAGCCTCTCACTGACTCCCATGTCAGTCACTATCTCTTCATATGGAATCCCTCAGTTATAACTGGTCTCTGAAGATCCTGGATGGATACGGCGGAGAGCTCTACTCCACTCTTCTCCCCCTCCTTCATCCTTATGCAGCTTGTCCCACTTTGTGTTGTCTCCATACATTCTCCCAATAATGTTCCAGGCCAATGTAAATGGGAATACATGCCTGGAGAGGCATCTGAGCAGAAATCTTGGAAGACGTTCACTGTGTTCCACACTATTCCTTGTGGACACAACAACACTGGCATGGTGGTACAAACTACCAGCTACTAACTTAATCACAGACACAAAACATCAATCAGCAAGTCACACGAGAATGGTTAATAAACTGCAGTGGTTTTGGATATTTGGTCCCTGCTACTGAGTACATGTTGGCAGTCCAACACCAGAAGTGTGACACAGAAGCCAATTCAAACATGAAATGGCACTTTTGTCACCAAAAGTCCTCTGGGGCCAAACTAGGATGTCAGTGAAGCACTTTAGGATAGTTATCTTGATGAAAAATAAATGGACTCAATGTACGTAAATATAATCTTGTATATGTAAGAGATGTCTTTGGTGTATTAGGGAAAAGTCAAACTCAAATGTTTGCTTGCTTACATGACATGATACTGCACAGAACTGAAGTGCATTTGTGACAATGTATATATACAGAGATTTTTTATGAATAAAGTATATTTTTGAAATATATTTTTAAAAATGAAAAAGAAATGGACTGAGCTGACTTTGTAAGGACTGTAGGTCCTTCCAATATCCCAGCAGCTGCCTCCTTTTTTGGTAACGGTTCCTTTCTCGGGATTTTGTTTTGAATTGGGTCTCTAAAGTCGCCAGCTCTAAAAAGAGACTCGATCTTACTGCAGCGAAGTTCTTACAAACCAGCCTGGCGTTTCTCTGCACACAGTGCCGTACTCGAACAGGGTGTGGTGGCGCTGCAAACCGGCCACTGATTCCATTATGGGCTGGGGAACCAACAAAGCTCCATTGCAGAGTGTCCCATTGTAAAGGCGGAACTAGCGTCAACTAATAAGTAGCGTTGAATGCTCACATCGAGCAGCTCTCACTGAATAACCTATCACAAGATCACAGAAAGAAGAACACTCTCTCTTACTTGATTCATAAAAACTAAGACTACATTGTTCCATTATTAGCAACTTTAGCAACAATGCTGCAAGATTTCGAAAATTATTTTGATATTTGGGTTTCTAAATGCAGTCGCTTACTTTAGGTAGGTTATAATTGTATTTGTAAAAGTTTGGAATGCTGCTACAACACGTTAAACAATGATCTGCCCCCACCCAAAGTCTGTTTAATGTTTTATGAATGCAATATTTTACTGGTTTTAAAGATCCTTGTAATTTCCACTGTTCAGAAATCCGTTTTCTTTCCCTCCTTCCGACTTGACTTACCGGTCATCAGGGAGTAATAATTGGGAAATGAAAGGCTGGGGAACTCCGGTGTCAGGTAATCCGCTTTGACGCCCAATTGCACGATCTCCCTCATACCCGGCAAGTTCTGCAGTTCTGCTTCGTTGATGTAATCATAGCGGAAACCATCTATAAGGAAAACCAGCAGTTTTCGGTTTGCAAGGCATGGGATCGAGAGAAAGGCAATCAGAGTGGCGGTACAGAGAGCTGTGTGCCTAGCCATTGTGAATCCCTGGCGGTGAGTGCTGGGGCAGAGCGAGCGCTGAGCGGATAGATACTGGCTCTTGGTGTGAAAGCTGAAATTTCTACAAAGGGGCGGCCAGGTCAAAGTACGAGATCAAAAAGGCTTCGTAGATAAAGCCACGCAATTTCTCACTTGCTAACAGTTTGTTGAATCCATCTGTCTCGACATCAACTTTACCACAGAAGAGCTGATGACTCGAATTTTGGACTGCCTCATGTATCTAAATGTGTTATTTTAGGTGTATATTTTGACAAGTCCACTGTTTTTATTGCTCTTTTTTCACTCTTCTGTGCCAGGAAGCCAGCTGGCGGCGGATTCAACGGGACTAATCTTCACATAATTTTATATAGGCACATAGGGGTGACAGAGTAGATGCATAGACGCTGTTTCCCCTTGTGGGAGAGTCTAGGAGCAGAGGGCATAAGCTCAGAGTAATGGGTCACCCATTCAAGACAGACAAGAGGAGGAATGTCTTCTCTCAAATTTGTGGCATTATTTATTGCAGAGGAAATGTTGTAGCTGGGACACTCAGTGTATTCTTGGCTGAACTAGAGTTTTAATCAATGAGCGAATCAAGGAATATAGGGGGAAAGCAGTAAATTGGAGTTTTAGATTATTAGATCAGCCATGATTTCATTGAATGGCAGAGTAGATTGATGAGCCAAATGGCTTACTTCTGCTCCTACACCTTATAGTCTTATGGACAGGCATACACCTTATAGTAACAACCTTACCTTTAGTCTGTGACAACTTGTAGAAGTTCAAATGCACTCCTTGTTAATGTCCATCATCTCATATAGATATTTTCTAATCATCTGTTCAGAGATGTTATGACACACTGGAGTGGGCGGGACTTGAACCCAGGTCTCCTAACTCAGAAATAGGGACATTACCACTGCATCACAAATGCCCACCACCTTTACATAACCAAGCACAATCAATATACAATTAACATGTGAGTTCTGAAGAAGGGTCACTGGATTTGAAATGTTAACTCTGATTTCTCTCTATAGATGCTGCCAGACATGCTGAGATTTTCCAGCAATTTCAATTTTTGTTTCAGATCTTCTGCATCCGCAGCTCTTTGTTTTACAATTAACATGTTCTGCCTCTGTCCTGTCATCACAAGATAGACCATAAGATATAGAAGCAGAATTAGGCCAATCAGCCCATAGAGTCTGCTCTGCCATTCGATCAGACTGGTATGTTTCTCAAGCCAATTATCCTGCCTTCTCCCTGTAATTCTTGATCCATTTACTTATCAAGAACCTACCTGTCTCTGTCTTAAATACTGCCCAAGATGGTGGCAGCAGAGACAGGAGTGTTTAGCCCCTGAGCACAGGGTTTGGCTGCCTATGGGCTCATGTGGCAGGTCTGGCCGCATCCACACATCTTCATCATAGTTCTTACAGCTCAGTACTCGGTCACTTTGTTTTGGTTTTGGTTGCCCTGGGGCCTCTTCCTGATGTCCTCCTGGGGGAGGCCAGGGCCCTACGTATCTCCATCCTCGCTCTAGTGGGGGAAGGATGTTTTGGGTACTTGGGTAAAGGGGGTAGATAGATGGGTACAGCAGAGGAGAGTTTAAGGGGAGACTGACAGCTAACATAAAAGAGGAGGCAAAAATCCTCTATAAACATATAAATAGTGAAATGAGGGTAAAAGGAAGAGTGGGGCCAAACTGTCTCTTCGTCTTTCCTACCTGGCTTTTCAGTTTCCCTCTGAATATATTGAACCTGATTCTCAATGATATTATCCACCTGACATCTATCATATGTACCCATTTTCTATTTTATCTTACTCACTATCTCTTTCATCATTCAAGTACTTAAAAAGAGATTCATGCTTGGGCATATTGATGATGTTACAAATGAGTACTTTGTATCTGTCTTTACCAAGGAAGAAGATACTGTCAAAATTGTGACAAAAAGAAGATAGTTGATGCTAAATGCACTAAAAAATTGATAAAGAAGTGGAATTGGAAAACCCAACTTTATTAAAATCTGCTCATTTGTCAGGACTGAATCTGACGCATCCAACGATACTGAGCGAAGTAAGGCTGAAAGTGGTGGAATGAATGAATGAATGATTTTATTGTCACATGTATTTGGGAAAATACAGTTAAAAGTGTATTGTCATGACAATCTGGCAGCATTTTATATTACAAAATGTATGGAAAGAAATTACTTAAATAGAGGTTCATCTTCTGTTCAACTGGCAGAGAAATATAAAGGTAGGAAAAAAAGAACTAATGTCCAACTTTACAGTCCTTCTTTCAAGCACGGCTTTGGGTTTTCTTCAGGTCTCAAGGATTTCTGTAAGGAGGCAGTAGCTATAGTTTTACAATCTTCCCAAATACAGGGGTGGAGCCAAAGGATTAGAGATTTGCAAATGTTCTACTTTGCTCAGAAAACAGTGTAAGGACAAGGCCACCAACTGCCAGTTTAACCACAATACTGAGGAAGCTTTTTGAAACAATAATGCGGAACAGAATTAAGAGTTGCTTGGACAAATACAGGTTAATTAGGGAATACCAACATGGACTTATTAAGAGCAAATCTGTGCATGATTACCAGAGCCTCATGAAAATTGGCATTGGGCAAATAAGATTAGGCAAACGAATGCATGGCTTAAAGACTGGTTTTTGAGATATGGGTTCTTATTTGTATGACACTGAAACTGGGTAAGTGAGAGCTGTACCATCTAGAATGTCTAAACATGAATTGTGGTGCCATCGATGTCCTAGAGGGCCACATAGCTAGAGAAGTTGAGTAGGTTTTAAAGAAAATACTAGGGGCAAGGGATCAAATTTCAAAAAACGTGATAAATCAAACAGTAGAGAGAAGACAAGAGAATAGATACTTATTTGGAAGTTGATAGAAAGTTGGTGACAAAATGTAGAGTACTTCAACAGATGAGGTTGGAGCTTAAAAATAATTTAAAAAACAAAACAAAGGATAACAAAACTGTATTTGAATGCACATAGCATTTGAACAGAACTGATAACACCAACATAAATAAGTATGATCTGGTAACCATCACAGAGACATGGCTGCAAGATGACATAGATTGGGACCTAAATAATCAAGGGTTCAGGACATTTAGGAAGGACGGGAAAAGGTGGAGGAGTAGCTTCGGTCATTCATGATGCCATTTGCAAATAGAGAGGGAGAGAGAGTTCAGGAAATCAGGATCTACCAGCAGCTCGGATAGAGATGAGAAACAATACAATAAAGAAGTCACTTCTGGGAGTGGTGTACAGGCCCCTAACTGTAACCACGCAGTACGATGGAGAATAAAGGCAGAAATAATCAGAGCTTATGAGGAAGATACAATGAGGATCATGGAGGATTTTAATCTGCATATATGTAGACTGGAAAAATTAGTTGAGCAAAGGTAAACTAGATAAGAAGTTCATAGAAAATTATCAGGATGTTTTCCTAGAATAGCATATTCTGGACCCAACAAGAGAGAAGCTGTAAAATACTTAGTTATCTGCAACAAGACTGGGTTAACTAATGACCTCAATGTGAAGGTGACCCAAGGTAGCAGCGATCATAATATGATTGAATTTTACATTCAGTTTGAGGAGGAGAAAAGTGGTTCTAAGACAAGTACTTTAAGCTTAAATAAGGGCAATTGCTGGGTCATGAAAGCAAAACTGAAGTGAACTGGCAAATTTGTTTAAAACATAAGTCAATATTAAGTGGTAGACATTTAAGGGGATTTTACAGAACAAACAGAATAATACATTGCAATAAGAAAGAAAAAGTCCAAGGGATGACCCATCATCCATGGTTAACTTAAAAAGTTAAAGATCATGTCAAACTTAAGGAAAAAGCACATAATTGTGCAAAAATAGAAGGCAGGGTGAAAGATTGAACAAAATATAAAAATGAGCAAAGAATGATTAAAAGATTAGCATGGAGGGAAAACTACATTGCAAGAAAAAGTTAACTATAAAATTTTTAAAATCTGATAGAGTTTCTTGAGATATATAAGAAAAAAATGTTAACAAAGACAGTGTTTGACTTGTAGAAAGTGAGTCTGAGAATTTATGATGGAAAATAAAGAAATCCCAGATAAATTGAACTAGTATTTTGTGTCAAGATAGAAGTATAGCTGTAAATCAAGAATTGGAAGAGAAGGAGGCACTCAAGAAAGTTAGTCACTAGGGAGTCATACTGTTGATATCCCTGCTGATGTTATTACGAGACTCATCAGATCCTGGACTGAAATCTGGCTTGTTAGATCATATTTTGTTTCAGTTTAGTATTAATAAGATGATCTCGCAGTGAAAGTATACAAGATGCAGATTTTTTTAACAACAAAATTGTAATTTATTGGCCAAACTAAATGAAAATAAAACAGAATAAACCAAACTGAAGAAGGGTCTAGGCCCGAAACGTCAGCCTTCCTACTCCTCTGATGCTGCTTGGCCTGCTGTGTTCATCCAGCTCTGCACCTTGTTATCTCATAAACCAAACTACTTTATTTTTAAAAATTCTGAATTTTAAACACACAGTAAAAGTATAATCCCATTAATCACAAAATACCTCTTTATAAATTCCAAAAACAAACAAGATCCCTTGCAAGTACCCAAAATAACCCTTTATACAATACATGCACCTGAAGAAAAAACTCCTTTCCCAATACCTGAATAGGCTTAAGATAACTGTGACTTTATCTCGTAGACTGGAAACACTGATAGTTTCTTCCTGGAGCTATTATTTACCTGAGTTTAAATGCACTCAGTGTCAGTAATCACTTCAGGGTTTTATTGCAACAGTTCTGCTTTTGGACTATTACTAATCCCTTAGCCTAGTTTTCTAGTTGTCTAGTTTTACTGTAGTCTCCCTTTCTCAGGACCACTGTTCTACATAACCATTTCCATCCAAGGACTTCATAGACCTGTCGCAAAAACAAAGTAGAATTGAAAAAGAAATCTCTCCCTGTAACCGTTGGACACTTCTCCTAAACTTAAAA